TGACCCAAGGCTTGTAAATGAAGTTGGATAGACGGAACCCTTAGGGTCGTCGACAGCTCAAGTCCTCAGCTATCGTGGTCAAGGGCTTGAGCGTCCTGGCCTTGTTCAAATTGTAGATCACGCTAGATTTACCCGCTCTTTCCCAGAAACTGCAAATAAGGTCTGTTCAGCATAGTTGCAGTAGAAAACACAGGTGGTCGCTGTGGGTGTTGAATAAGCAAGCATCTGCAATAGGGTGATGGGTGACTACTTGGTTAATACGAGGTTCTGTCCGCTTGGATGTGCGCGTAGTGTAATGGATAATGGCTCCGAATTTTTAATCGGCGAACCGAGTTCTAATTCCATTTGTGATCGTTAGTATTACCTGGAAAGGGTTGATGAGTTGTAGAAAATGAATGAATCAATCATAAGCTTTCGGCATGGGTTCGAATCTGCATCCAACTTTCTAAAAGCACGGCCTGCTATACCGTTTTCCCCATAAGGAATTAAGGCTGGCTTTGCACGATCTTGGGTTCTTCCCAAGCTGGTGAGTACTGCCGTCCTCAACTGATGGTTATCTGCTTCCAACTTCGCGCCTTCATCTGCTTCTGTTCCACGTTGTGTTCCTTGATCAAAGAGCAGAAAGAATTCGTGAATTCTCTCGGCAGCAGGACATGTGGCTTCTTTCTTCTTCTGTGGCTTCTCCTGTATTCCGAGGCCTTCTGGTGCCTTCTGCTCTTTAGGTCACCTAAGCGCTCCTTTATATGAATTTCACCCGATTCCTACCGCACCTCAAGATTCATTAATATTCATATAAATCCAATTTTGGAGAACCAATACTGAGAAAGCGGCTCGCAGTCGGTCACTTATTCAAAACAATACATTGTTCGACAACAAACTTTATATTTATGAATTCGTTTCTTTGTCCTTAACGCCAGAGATTCTTTTTTGTTGCAGACTTTTCAATATGACCGATTAAAATCTTTGACTACGTTACACGTTTACAAAGCCATATTACAGTTTGTTTACATTATTGGCTTTGCGATTTATAACATTTTCATTTGTTTTCGGCTGACAATTAATTTTTTACATTTCTCATATTTCAGATTGTTTACATTATCGGTTCTGCGAATCATAACAATTCCATTCCTCTTTCGCCTTATATTTTAGATTTCTCAACCCATATTTTAGAGCCAACGTTCCATTCGCCGTTTCTAGTTATCAGATACGAAAAAATCTCTTTTTATCCTTGCTCCATATTGCAATTCATGCTTTCACCATAACGTTTTTAATCCTCCCGATTCTCCAATTCTTATACGGGGTTTTCACAAGAACCCTTTTAATACTAATTCCATACTACCAGTGTCACATTCCTTTCAACGACTACCAGTGACACTTTCTACTGACACATTACTTACCACTCTGACTACAACCACTATAATACTCCAGAGTCTCTATGAAGTCCTATATAGTCCCATATTTATAATTTGTCTTGGGTGGGGGGAAATAAAAAAATAAAACTTTCCATGGAAAGTGCTCGGACGAACTGCATTCCTTGCTTCCGCCAATTCTAACTTTCACGGCTACGACACGCTATGCCACACCCATTGTAGCAAATCACCCACGTTCCCTCCATATTCCATTGGTGAGGAGTAAGTTTCACTCGAGAAGCTTCTTCCCATGAGCCACTGCTTAACCTGTTAAAGTCTAAGGTTAACTGTTATCTTCCTCGCCTATCAACATAAACCTACCTCTTACTCTGTAACCCTCTACCGCAAGTGGCTTCTTTATACTGCGACTGTCGTATTCATTTCAACTACTGCCAGTGACATTTTATCGTGTCACATTCTTCCCTTCCTCATATCTCTCATTTATATGTAAATGACACCCAAAATTAATGAAAACAAGAAAGGTTTTTCATGCATCGTTTTTACACTAAACATGCAGTGGAATAAAAAAAGAGAGAGTTTTTTCATGTTGTTTTCCGAGCTATGACTCTAGATATCTTTAAAACGTTTAATAGGGTTTAGTATGCCGGCCTTCTTCGTAAGCTGCAGGGAAACGGAATTTCAGAAAGATTATTTGACTTAATAGAATCATTCCTGTCAAACGATTTAATGAAGCTCGTAATGAAGGTCGTCCTAAACGGATACTCCTCTCACTTTCGGCGCTTCTAGTTATCAAATACGAAAAAAATCACTTTTTATCCTTATCAATTCATGCTTTTACCTTAACGTTTTTAACCCTCCCGATTCTCCAATTACTATAGGGTTTTTTCACAAGAACACTTTTAATACTAATTTCATACTACCAGGGTCATAAGGGGGGCATCGGTTCAAGCGGAAGGTATATTTTTTGTTAAGATGCTCGAATGTACATGCCGGTAGACACAGACTAGAACTGTCTAAAACAACAGGGAACAGCTTAGACACGTCTATTAACTAACAACTTTTAAAATAATAAGAAGCCCTGTGAAAGTATATAAATCGAAGTAAATAATCTTAAATAGGTAAATATGTTCGGACAGAGGAATATCGACGTTTCAAATTAAAACCGTTGTATTGGTTTATTCAAAATGTAAAGTCAGTTTTAATCGCAAGATAAGCAATAGAGTTTCTATTTTTAAATAACTTACATCAAAACGACCACTTTTGTGTAGTTGTTTAACAAATGAGTTTTTAAATACATTTCGTTAAAATTGGTGTTTATTCGTCATTTGATTCTATCATAGAAATAAGAAATATTTTTGACATATTTGACATATTATTTTTGACATATTATTTTTGACATATTATTTTTGACATATTATTTTATTCCAAGAAAGGAAAATTCAATCCAAAACACAAAAAGAGATTTTGGAAAATTATGAAGAGATTCTTTGAATCATCGAACATGTCAAAAAGGATTTGGAAATGTCATGGTAGAGATTTCTGGTCAGAATGGCCATTGGAAATAGGTAGCAATCAAATAGAAGCAAGAATAAACACGCTCAGAAACAGAAAGAAGCAGCTGAAACTTCTACAATACAAAATTAGGAAAGGGGCTTGGAAAATTTGACACTCACAGTACATGCCGAATGCAAAATGAACTAGTGGAAATAGCCGAACGCCTGACTAGTTTTTTCGATAAAATTGCAGAACTAAGAAGGGAAGGATGATGAAAGAGAAACGTTACTCAGAACTATAATGGATAGGAAGTTATGAAGAGTCATGGCAACCCACATCTTTAAGAATACCACTTATCTACGGAGAGGAATCGTCGCGTCGTATTCATACCTGTTCTTGTAATATTTGTTTTTCACTATTTTCCCTTCCCACTGTCCTGCCATGCATATTTAACCATACACCTTAAGTCGTTTACTTGCTGTTTCCGTCTGGTTCTATTGCCTTGCGAGTGTCGACATTTCCAAGCTTTTATTCTCATTAGGTGTCCTAGAAATTCCCACCGTCTCTTTCTGTTAAGTTATAGTCTACTTTTCGTTCCTTTTAGTTTCAGCTTTCATTATAATCCCCTTGTTGCTTATAAAAGTACGTATATTAAAATGAAGGAAGGGCAGATAGAGAACATGGAGTATTGACTAATTAAGATAAACACAAAGCAGTGGAAAATATTCCATATTAGAGCGCTTTCAATTTAGAGATTTTCTTCATGAGACAGCCTACCAAACTACACTAAAGAGAATAGCCTGCCTTTTTATTTTTCCCTACCCGGAGCAACAGAAACTTATGACGAGCATACTACGAAATGAATTAAAACCCTCACTTACAATCTGAACCCTTTCAGCTGGGAAGGGAGAAGAAATAGATTTATAATTTTCACAAAGAAAAAGTAAAATGTATGTGTAACTCATTCCACCCCTAGTATTCATTACACCACTGATCCCCCCTCCCCATATATATATATATATATATATATATATATATATATATATATATATATATATATTTTAGTTTATGCTTCTGTTCATCTATGGTGTTGCAAAGAGTTTTATTGGTCTCTCACTCACCTTCGTCCCACACATAATAATCAAGGTTTTTGCAGTCTAGGGAGTTAGGCTGTTAAAAGTAAGGGGTGATGTGGTCGCAGAAATTGTCTGACAGTCATGACTGGGTTCTCATGTTTTTGTGGCATGGTGGAGAGTTTTGTTGCCAACCTCTTGATCCAGGGTAATAATATTTCCTCAAGGGATTTGATGCAGGCCTCCGTGTCGAGTCTGAAGCTCTATGGGAACGTAAATGGAGTCATAACGTTACAATCACTAGCGATTCCTCCAGACACCATAGTGTTGACTGGATATATCATCTCTTTCCGAATCCCCTTCAGTGTCCACAGATTTACACCTAAACACTATGAAATATTCGTATTGGAGCTTCCGGTGTGAGAGCCAAACAGTACATCATGCCGCTTCCTAATTTCCGGTGGAGTGAATTACGTGATGATGCTCTTTTTTCTCACTAAACTGTGCCCAAAGGACTCTACTATACTGTGCAGTCGACAAGATCAAAAAACAAACAACGCGCATGCGTGAAATCAAAACTAAATATTGGCAACAATTTACCCATCGTACGCTGTATATAAGTTGATGATAGAAAGTGTAATAGTTACGTATATGCGCTTAACTCAAATAACGAAAACTTGAACAGAATCCAAGTGAAGAAAATGGAAAACTATGATGTCCAATTTTATTTAGGGCAAGTAAAAATTGCATAATATATAAAGAAAACCTTTTGAAAGCAATGACGAGATCTTAAAATCTTTCCATCGCCCGCCAGAGCGTTCACAGAAAGTCCAGAAACGAGCCAAATACAACCGAATTGAAATATCAGCTTGTAATTGTTGGCATGAGGAAAAAGGATATCCGTCCTGCAATGCCAAAGATTGTAAAGTTATATATATATATATATATATATATATATATATATATATATATATATATGGATAGAGGAGAGAATGTGGAATACAATGCCTGGGGCATCAAAGGGCAGGGGCTGTACGCCTAGAAAGAGACAGAATATATGAAGTTAATAGGATTTCGCTCGAGGCTTGACGCGGGAGGATCTTTCATAGCGGGTAAAAAGACACGGACGGGTAATGGGGGAACGTGGGACCAGAGTTCCGGGGTGAAAGGAGGAGACAAGGGAAAAGGGAGAAAGAACGGAATATCCTTCATGAACAGTTAGCAGCGGAGAAACGACAACGCGAAGAGGTTTTTCACTAAAAGATTGCTCGGAAATAAACGAGATAAACGACCAAGTCAAGAATGGTGCACCGGTCGGAGGCTTATGAAGCTAGGCAGACGAATAGAACCGGGTGAAATAAAGCGGCTTGAATGGGAACTATTGAATACCAGAAACGACGATAAAGTACCTCAACAGAAATGAATGGCCATTCCAATTCCACAAGAAAAAAAAAACGACTAAAAGAAAGACGGTAAGAATTTAGATAGATAGATTGATAGATAGATAGATAGATAGATAGATAGATAGATTTACTAACATATAAACTGATGCATACAACTGAACGCACACAGCTGGCTAAATAGTTTGAGAAAGCCAT